ATACATGAAAATGAATATATCCTGGTTTATGCTTTTAAATGCATGTATAAAAAAGGGCTAAGTGAATCAAACATAAAACCAGGTCAATTAAATTTTTTTAAATTGTCGAAAGAAGTATATTTTAAATAAAAAGAACACAAATACAATAAAGGTTCAAAACAGTATTTAACAATGAAATACGTATTTAATTTTTTAATTATTATGTATACATACATATTTCATTACAGATTACATATATGTACTTTACTAAAAAAAAGGGGGGATTCTTAGTTCATTAAATAAGCATTACATTATTTTTTTTAAAAAATAGAGAAACTTCCCTCTCCCCCTTTTTTTGGTTTGTTTTGTTTGTTGCTGTTGCCCTTGAGTCAGCATTTTTTCAGAACAACTCATGCAGTCTAAAACACATCTCCTTGCCTTTGAATTGCATTCTTAATTTAGATTTTCATAAGAATTTAAATGCTGTTTTAAGAATTCTGTTGATAAATCTTTTGGTTTTCCATTTTCCTTCAGCAATATTTCCTAAAGCATTTTCAATATATAAATTGTCTTCTGATCTATTTATATTATCTGCCAAATCTTTCAGTTCTACATTTGACAGGATTTCTCTATGATATTCTATTCTAGCGAATTCCAAATGTGCTCTTCATCAGCTTTTTTCATTCCTGCTTCATAAGCCAAAGCATTTACTTTAGTACTGGTTTAATTTCTCTCCATAGTTTTGCCATTATTTTTGCAAGCTTCTAGTCAAACGCCTTTTTAGACTTCATTCATATAGTTTGAGGTCACTTCGTTCCAAACAAGCTTTACATTGTGTAAAGAATATACGAAGTAATTTTTCTAAAATTCCACTAAGTTTACTTATATAGAACCAGTTCTGTCAATGAGATATTTGTTGTAAGCAATATTGCTTTGAAAGTTGCACATTGTACCATGAATTAAATTTTGAGGGTGGCTTAGAGCATTATTTATCAAAAAAGGGGCTTTCTTATGACTCAATGCTCTTTTCATGACAATGACACATTATTAATGAACATAATTCATTTATAAACCAATCTTAAAAAACTTATATAGCGACCTAAGCTTTTCTTTCTAATTGCTAAATCATGAGAAATGTTGATTTGTCATTCCTTTAGTGGCTGCAGTATTTCAGAATGATATACATGAATTTAAATTCACTTCCTGCATTATCTCCTGAATGCAAGGTAAGTCTGTCTTTTGATGCTTTAAATGCAAAAACATGCTTATTGTCTCATGAAATGTATATATGGTATGGCATCCTCTTCCAAAATAAACCAGTTTCATCCACACTAAATACAACTTGAGGTGAAAAGTTTCCATCAGTAATAATTTTTTTAATAATCTGTGGAAATTCTTCCACGGTTATATAGTCTGCACTAGTTTTTTTGCAAGTAACCTCAAACTGTGAATCTTACTTCATTTTTTGAATTGATCAAACAAATTCTCAACAATCAGTTATGTTATCCATTTCTTCCTGTATAAAATTAAAAACTGAAAGGTGAAAATTATGAGGAAAAATAAATGCTTTTTGTTTCAGCTATAATTATGCCTTGACTTATAGGACTTGCATTTTGTGATCGAGCCAAATGCTCATCCTCTTTCCATCTCTTCGAGAACTGAGATTCTGCATTTCATCACCATTTTTTTCCTAATGTACTTGATGATGTTGCAGAAGATTTAATTCTTTTTAATTTTGCAAAACTGTTCATATAGTTAAATGTGCTAACTTTAAGAAACTTGCAATGTCAACTTGTCACAGCGCACCTTCGAATCGATATATCACCTCGGCTTCTACTTCAAATGACATTGATTTTCTCTAGTAAGAAGAAACCGTCTCGGTGAATGTAATAAATAAAAAAATATTTTATAGTTTTTGTAAAACTCTGATGACAAAAAACAACCAACAAATCACCAAAATAACTTGTTATATACATTAAAAAAAAAGTGTCCGTTCACTACAACACAAACCAAGCAATATGATGAGCAGGAAGCGAAAGACTGCGTTATGGAAATTATCGCATGGCTGCACTGTGTCATAGCCAGCGTAGATTACCACACTGCCACTCCCTTGCAATGTCTTTCATCCTTTCATAGCTTGTATCATACCCACAGCCTAATAATGTGCAGTTCAGTTCTATGATATTATTATTCTCATTGAAAATTAACAATCAACTGCTTTCCGATACAAAAATATAAAATTTTGAATTTTCATAGATTGAATTTTAAAAAAGTATCATAGTGAATAAGTGCAAAATTAGACAATGTAAACTAGGTATTTGTGTACATAACAGAATGAGAATAAAACAAATTTGCAGTTTGCATACCAAAAGGAAATTAACTGGCATAACAGTTTGCCAAGTTGGCAAGTGCAAACCAATTAACACAGTCTGTTGACTTTTTTTCAAAAAGCAAATTGAAAGTTTTTTTAAACAATGAGGATGCAATTTTTAGAAAGCAGTGAAATTATCAGTGCCACTTTGATGCCTATATATTGGATTAATAAATGTAAAAGCTACGCAGAAACTTGCTAATGATTCTGTTCGTTTAAAAGTACAAAATATTAAAAAAATAGAAGCAAAATCAACTTTAATTAAACTTTCATAACATGCATCAGGTTGTCCGGAAAATAATGCAAGTTTTGTCAATTGTTTATATTTCCTGTACATTTTTAGCAACAAAAATATTTTGAATTACATTGGTTTATATATCATTTTGAAGCTCTAGTTTCACTCTATATTTCTATAATAATCATTTTGTTCCAAAATTATTTTCAAACATATTTATTAGGTGTTTTTTTTAGATGTCAAAACGGGATTCTCTGCAAATTTACTTTTATGATTACACGCTAGGCCACAGCGCAACACAAATTGCTCGAAATGTCAATGAAGTATGGGGTGAGAAAAGTGTTAATGAATCTACAATTCAATGGTGATACCAAAAGTTTCGTTGTGGAGAATTTGACCTGGAAGATCAAGAGCATTGTGACTACTCTTCAGCTATGATTTGAAGACTTAAGTAGAAACAAACCTGTGTATAACTGTTCAAGAGCTTGGTATAAGCAAAACAACGATTTCTGATCACTTGAATCTTAGAGGAAAGTCAAAGAAGCTCGATAAGTGGGTGCCTCACAAATTGAGCGAAAATAAAAAAAATTGCCGTTTTGAAGTATCATCTGCTTATCTTCTCCACAACAAAAACAACCTCTTTCTTGATCGAATTATTACGTGCGATGAAAAGTAGATTCTCTCCAACAACTGGCAACACTCAGCTCAATGGTTGGACTGCGGTCAGACCCCACAACACTTTCCAAAGCCAAATTTGCAACAAAATAAAATTATGGAGACCGTTTGGTGGTACGAGGCCGGTCTCATCCATTACAGCTTCCTAAATCTCGGCGAAATGATTACAGCAGATAAGTACCGTCAGCAAATCAATGAAATGAATCAAACATAGCAATGCATGTGCTCGGCATTGGTCAACAGAAAGTGGCCAGACGATTCTCCATGACAATGCTCGGCCACATGTACAACTGACCCTACAGAAATTGGATGAATTGGGATACGAGACTCTTCCTCTTCCCCCATATTCGCCTGACCTCTTGCTGACCGATTACCACTTTTTCAAACATCTGGATAACATTCTGCAGAAGAAATGCTTCAGAAACCAAGACTAGGTGAAAAATGCCTTTAACAACTTTATCGCATCCAGAATTTTATTCTACCGGCATAAATAAACTTATATCTCATTGGCAAAAATGCATCGATTCAGCTGCTGCTTATTTTGATTAATAAAGTTGTTTTTGAGTTATGATACTTTAAATATATAGGTTAAAACCCTACATTATTTTCCGAACAACCTAATATATGTATATTTTTGGCAATACAATGCTGCTTTTGAGACGTTCTGAAATTTCAGATTGCTGCCTAATTTCATCAGAAGGTTTGCATTTGGCAATAAAAAAATACTTATTTAATACTTTTATTTGGAATACATATAGACACTTAGGTAAGAAATTTTAATTTATAGCATTTTTGATCAGAATGTACAAAATCAGTTTCCGTTCTTCTCAACCCAGTCTGGAGTTCAAAGCTAGCAGACATTCCTTGTCAGAAATTCCAAGAACTTGCCCTAAAATCTATTTCCTCTCTTCAGGGAATAGGATGTAAATAAATCAAAAGTTTCTAAATCATACTTTAAAATAGCCAGCAGGAAAATTACATGAAGGGAAGAGAGATGTGTGCAAATATGGTACCGCAGTACTTCAATCTAGTTTTTTTAACCCAAAAGGACAAAAGGGGTGGAACAATGAATGATACAAAATAAACTAAGAAAGTGTTACACATTGTAAATAATATTAAATAAATAATCTTTATTACAAAAATGTACATTTTAATATCAGTAACAGTAAAATCATACACAAACATTTCCCCCCCCTCCTTTCTAAATAAAACAAACAAATATCAGATTTATTGCAAAAATCAAAACAGAAGAGAAACATGCTAAAGTGAAACATGAAATCAGCAAACCAACAATCTTATGTTTGGCATAGATTTAGTCATGAAGTGAAGCGATTTCAAGAGCAAACAGGTACAGGACCATTTTCATAAGGAGTAAAGAAATCCACCAACAAGAATCAGGCTTCCCGATTTCTTTGCTCCTGATGAAGAGGGACTTGTACATGCCTGTCCTGGAAATCTATTGAGTTCTTGACTAAATCTACACCAAACACAAGATTATTGCTTTGCTAATTTAAATCTCAAATATTTATTTATTGTAAGATATTTATTTATTAAATTTATATTATTTATTAAAATACATTTATTTATTATTAAAATATTACACATAGGATTCTACAGAAGGCAGTGGCCCACTGTGTGCTATTGTGCCAACAGAAAAAGTGTAAAGTTTCTCATATTAGGAAAAACCAATTACTCATATTACAAAATCTAGTAAATAAGCATAAAAAATTAAAATCTTACTTGTGCTACATTCGAAACTACATTTAGAAAGGCAAGACAAAGAGTGTATTCTCCAGAGACACATTCTCTTGAAGCAATAAGTTGTCCAATAATGCCAACATTCATACCTATCCCACTGTAATTTTTAAAAAAATCTATAGACTACATAGATATATAGTACTTTGGATGAAAAATCATACCTATAAAACTATTAATTTAACTACAAAATAAACAAAATATTCTAAAAAAAGAGACTTAACAAAATACTCTAACAGACAGATTTACGAATAGATACACTAAAAAAAAGACAACACTTTCCTTTTAAAATCTGTACTTTTATGAAATATAACATATTTCCTTGTCCTTTAATTACTTTTAACAACTGAAAATTGAGAGGCAAAAATTATGCAAGTAATTTAATTTCAAAAAAACAAGGCTAGAGTAAGGATGCAGCAAATGAAATGCAGTCATGGATAAACTACTGGTAAATATCAAAACATCATTTCTCCAAAAAGAAAATCAGTAAGAATACACAGTAATGTTAACATTCGGGCATAGCATATTTGGCTCAATTACATTCTAAAGCCCCAGGGATACCATTCATGAACGAGTCTTGACCGCAGTACTCAAGAGGGACATTGGAAGAACGAAAGATAAGGGGGTTGAACAAAAAATCCGGATTTGAAATCAAAAGACTAGCAGTAAGCTGGAACGTAATGGAAATAATTTGAAATCACATGCTTGGAAAGTTCCTTAAGTGTGAGAAAACCCGCCACATTCAGGTAGTGTAGAAAAGAATCTGCACAAAATAAACTTCAAAGAAAAAATGCAAGGGAAAATAAAATAGACGAAATGCTAATACATAAATGCAAATATAAATTGAACACAGTGAAAAAAACATTAAAAAAATAAGGGAATACAATTTAACAATAAACTAGACCTCTGACAGAAAAACTACGTACAAGAGAAGAGAAAATTATGCAAATATTTAAAAAATTTTCAGAACCTAGTGCTAAAGAGGTATTGGGGGGAATACATGAGGAAATATGGTGTTTGCCTGAGAATTAAAGATCTTATATCCATGCATTAACAACACTTTTTATACTCTGTAAATGACAAATGCATGGCAGCCTATTGCAAGTACACTTGCTGGGTGTGGCATAAAGGTCCAAAAATTTTGAAGACTTCAAAAATTTCTCTACAAGCTTATGTCATTAATTCTTAAATTATAAAAGAATTTTTTACATAAATTTCTTGAAGTGTCTTCCCCCCAACAATAAATACTCTTTGCATTTAGTGACATTGATTCAGAAAATCACAGCTACCCATATATATATATATATATATATATCTGCTATGTTTAAGCAGATCAAATTTCGAGAATTTGAATTAAAAACTATTTATGTATGAAAAATGAGTATTTTATAAGCCTATAACATTAAGTATAGCTTTTGAAATAGAACATCATTGAGCTCTGGAGTATCTAATGTTTCTAACCTCCTAGAAATTCAGCTAGCATGTAGTTCTTGAAATACTTCAGTCTGTACGGAATTGTGTGTGAATTAACCAATTATTTTGATTTCAGCCTTTACTATAACCTCTCCTTTCTGTAATTCCTTACCAGAATGCAAATTAGTAGCAAGCATTTAAACTAAAGTTTCTTGATCTGAGACAGAGTGTTTTTGGCACCACAATGTGATTAGTTTCCCGCCAGCTTTTAATAGTTGTACTTTAATACTGACACTCCAATAGAGTTATTGAGCCATCTTCTAGTACAGTATTTAATTGCATAGTTTTTCACTACTGTTCAAGTTAAATTGGACTTTTTGATTTATTTATATTACGACCATTTGCTGTCACTGTAGCACAAGATCACATACTTGTATGCACTAATGTACACTAATCGAATCAACGAATGTTTGCCTACGCATCTAACTATGAATCTAACGATGTATCTAAATACCACATCTAGAATATGTGAACTATTGGAACAGGATATTGTAGATACAAAATCATTAGAAGAATATGATATGAATCTACAAGAAAAAGCAGATCAGATATTTAAGTTAGATCTAGAAATCGAGAATTTAATTCCTGAAGTAACTGATCTGGAAACAGAAGTCGAGAATAATCAGGAATACAGAGAACGTATAATCTACGAGAAATCGAAAGTCATGAATTATCTTCAGAATTCAGATAGAAATAAGGCAGATTTGGCGTTGAAGAATAATTCTTCACTTATTTCGAATAGTGAACCAGATAAACCAAGAATAAATTTGCCGAATCTTCATGTAGAACCATTTGAGGGTAATTACCGAAGTAAGGCAAACTTGCCTTACTTCGGTCCGTGATAACGGATACACGTCAACAATTGTCCAAAATTGAACATGAACTCTATAAGCTTCATCTGGAACTCGCTAAAACATATCCAAAATTCACTGCCCTTGAACAAGTCTTGGTCTAGAATGGAGAATGCAGTTAACCGTCATAAAAACACCCTTGCAGTTAAATTCGAAAAACTTCTTTTACAGTCTTCCAGTTCAAGTAGTTCAAAAAATCTTCCCATTCTAAACATCAAGCCAATAGTTAATATTTCTAATGTTAGTCTTTCAGAAGAACAAGAGAGAATTCTAAAATATTTTAACTTCTCACAAACCTGTAAACCCTCGATTCCAAAGATTTTGGCTCCTATTGAAAAAGCTTTTCAAGTTCAGTAAAGTTTCAGATTCACAGAAAGAAATGATTAGGCATCTTATCGCTCATAATGTGAAATTCAATAATAAACCTTTGAAACCAAATCTAACTGCGAGAGAAAGAGCTACAATGCGCGAGATTCATTCTAACCCGGTATTGTCATTTCAAGGCCGACAAAAGGTGGCCAGATAGTTTGTCATGGATAAGAACACTTACATCGATGGTGTCACTAAACTCTTAAACGAAGGACCATATAATCCGATCCCTAAAGATCCTTCACCTTCGGACTTATCCAAAATAAAAACTGCGATCAAATCTTCGCAAATCATTTCAAGCAACTTAAAACATTCGCTTATCCCATCTGTGCGAATTGTGCCAGATTATATGCTCTTCCCAAAATTCATATAAGTGGTATTCCTTTCCGCCCTATTGTATCAAATTTAGGTACTGCCTCGTATCCATTAGCTAAATATTTAGTTTCTAGATTTTCCACTCTATTAGACAAGAACATTTACACCATAAAAAATTCAATAGAGTTTGTAAAAAAGGTTAAAAACATTTTCTCCTCGTAATTTACTCATGGTTTCTTTTGATGTAAATCATTATTCACCAATGTCCCGTGGAGGGTGCATTAAGATGTCTAGAAACCAGACTTCGCGAATTTCATTTCTCTTGCATCGAAATTGATGAGATAATTTCTCTCACTCAACTCTGTTTGAAACAAACACACTTTGTTTTCCAAAATAAATATTACAAGCAAACTGAGGGATTAGCCATGGGAAGCCCCCTCAGTCCCATCCTGGCTGATATCTACATGCATTATTATGAATCAAAATTGTTTGAAACTTTAAACTTCCCAGCAAGGTTCCGCTACGTAGACGATACTTTTACCCTGTTTGAAGGTAATAAAGATGATTTAAATAGAGTTCTTTCAACAATGAATTCTATTGATCCTACTATTCAGTTCACTTTTGAACTTGAGACTTGCAATTCTCTTCCGTTTCTCGACATTCTGGTCACAGTAACACTCCAACTTCAGTACTACGGTTTACCGTAAACCTTCATCGGTTTGCCTTCCACCACACACTTCAAATCATGTCATCCGACTAAACAAAAGTTAGCTTCATTTATTAATATGTTTTTCCGTGCTCTTCAAGTTTGCTCCTCCAAACTAGCCCTTGATGAAGAACTAAATATTTAAAAGCAATAGCTATTGACAGGGGCTTTTCACCCAACATTATTAATCAAGCAGTTAAAAAATTCTCATCTCAACACACTAAAAGCCACACTCTTATTTTAGGAGATTATAAAAATTCTGTTGTCATTCCTCAATTAGCTATAAAGTTGCACATATTTTGCAGAAATTTAACTTTCGGGTTGTTTACTCTCCCATCAATAAAATTCCAACTTCTATACTCAAGGACCCCATTCCGGATATGAATTCCTGGGGTATTTATAGGATTCCTTGCCAGTGCGGTTTAATTTACATTGGCCAAACTAAGAGAGCCTTAAAATTTCGCGTCAAAGAACATGAGGCATATGTTAGAAAAAAGGAAACACAGAAGTCTTCTGTTGCTCAACATTGTTGGTCCGAAAATCACACTTTCAATTTTTCTGCTGCCAAAATTATTCAAAAAAACATCTTCCATTGGAGAACTGGATTTTCTAGAGGCATTTCACATTCATAAAAATCTTTCTGTTCTAGTTAACGATCCTAATTCCAATCCAAATTTGCCTTCGGCTTTTAGAGAAATTATGTGTTTAGTTCTGGTTTCGCCAACAGATGGCGCCACTTGCTTATTCTTGTCCAGGCTTTCTTATCTTATCTAAACATTATTCCTATCTTGTTTCATTTGCGGTTTTGCAGCTGAAGATGATGGTTCGGTAAAACCACGAAACTATCCTGTGAAATTTTTGAATTAACGCTGATTTTGTTGTTTGACTTCTGAATCAGTATTTATTCGGCGTGTTATTGTGTCTTAATGATATCTATAATCCGGAAAATCGATATCGGAATCACCGAAGTCCCGACGTCCGGATTAACTTTGACTGATTGAGAAAGCAAAATTAACACATGAACGATCGAATTTTGTTGATCTAGAAGCACTGTCAGTCTATTAAGATTTTCGGTCTTTTCGAAAATTACGATTACCAGTGCATCCAGAAACAAAAAAAAAAATTGTTTGGAATCGGGAGCGTAAATCACACATCTACAATGACCTTGGGAAATGTTCATATTTCACTTCGAATCAGCGAAATCCAAACAACCACGAATTTGTTTATCATAAATGATGAAGTACAGCCCTACGACCTAATTATTGGGAGAGATATATTGAACGATCAGATGTTGGCTTATGGGAAAATAGGGGATTCGTTTAATATATGGTATGCTAATAAAATTCCATTTGCGCAATTGATAAACGAAACGGAGTGTAAACACAT